TTAAAAACCATAATTAATAACCTTTAATTTAAAATCAATAATCAAATTTTATATTATAAATAAGGGCACTTTATTTAATAATTAAAATATTTAATAAAATTTTTATTGTTTACAACTTGTCAGACATATTTTTTAATATCGAAATTATTTAAAAATAATGTATAAATTATTTTTTTAATATAATACATTTACTTTTTACATATTTTTTTATTAATTTTATTATAAACTTTTAAGATAAAATTGTTATTCAATTTTTTATTTTATAAATATTTTAAAAATGCTTGTAAATTTATATGTTTATATTTATAAAATATATTTTACTACTTTATATAAATTTTTATATTTTCTGGATTTATATATAAATTTCATAATACTTAATATATCATTTTGATTATTTGAAAATAAATTAAAATTTAAAATTATTATCATTTTATTAAATTTTTATCAGTTTTATATATATATCATATGTGGTTATAGAGTTAAATTAAAATTTTTTATAAAAAATTAATATTTCAAATATTTTTAATATATATATATATATATATATTTACTTATAAAATATTTTTTATTTAACTATTAAGTTATATATATATATATATATATATTATTTTTTTAATAAAATACAAGTGTTAACTAGTTTTCAACAAAAAAATTAAACAAATTATTAAAAATCAGCCAACAAATTCAACAAGGAATGTCTCAAGTTGATTGATGTGGAGTTTTAGGTTTATGAGTTTGTTAAGACGTCCCTAAACCATGCTGTCACCAAACTATTGAATCCAAAGCATAGAAAATATGTTTAGCAAGCATATGCATATATATCATCGGCTCTTATTTTCACAAACGACAATCATATCTTATTTGCCAATCTAGAGCTTTCGCGTATAATATTAAATTTATAACTCAAATGGGTTAGTGGAGCCTTTTATTTTCATTGTCGTTTAATAGTAACTTGGCCCAAATTAATGGGTAAAAAAGTCAATGTAAAAGCCATAAAATGTGGGGATTCATTGAAATTAGGTACCCGGCGGGTGAGCTTAATGTTGCTCACTGTCACAATCGATCCAGTGCCACGGTGTTTCGCTTTCATTCAAACTCAACCAAAGCCAGATTCCATTTACTGTTTGCATGTACCATCTCTTTCTCTATAGGACCACTAAACCAAAAACAGTTGCTTCTTCTCATCCATGCCTCTATATCAAAACAATCATTTAAATGGCTATTCAAAAAAAGATTTTGATAATTACGTGTAAAGGATTATTATTCTTATGTCATATGTATAATTTTTCTTTTATAACACTTTATTATTAAAAGATAATTTTAAAAAGTTATGTATAAAAATTTAAAAGATAACTAAATTAAAGAGTTTAATCTTTAAAATACTTTTTTAGATTTAAAATACATTTCTTCTCTAATACTTATATTTATTTTCTTGATGATTTGACATAAAATTATCGTATAATAATTATCATATTCAATTTTTTCCTTTTATTTTGAACAGTAAAATATTTTTGTTAGTATAATTTCTATTTAAAAGAAATAAAACTGCTTATATAAACATTATTGATTTACATTAATGATATGAAGTCAATTATATTAACAAACAATATTGTTTGTATAATATTTTGATATATATTATTGATATATCACATATCATGTTAGTTATATTATTAAGATAGATATATTGACAACACTTATCTTAGTAAATATATATATATCGAGATCGAGAGAAAGAGAGAGAGAGATTTTTTAATTGTGTAGGCTAACCAATTTGTAAAAGTTATTTTGTCATCATCTTTCATATACTTTCTTATTTTTGTCTTTTTAATGTAAATATTTGTCCTTTCTTTTGATGGTTTTTAATTGATAAGACTAATGTTATTTCTATACCTTATGTTCTATGCTTCCCCATACCTGTATCTAAGTTATCATCACGTGTTGCTAAAATTGTTATTATTAACTGTCCTGCAAAAGTTTGATTGAGATATGATAACTTTAGAATGGATTACAGTTTTAGCAGTAGTTAATGACAATAAGTTGCGGAGGGATGTATAAAAATAAAGTGCATAAATAATATTACTTCGTTAATCAATAATGAGGAAATCATTAAACTCACATGGAAAAAGAAAATCTTTGTTGATATTATATTTGTGTAAATGTATTTTGAGGGTGTCATCATTATCATCGGTCATCATAGCTCATATAAATTCCTTACTTCAACGGATGCTTTTGCACTAAGCTTTATGTACATAACATAATTACCTCTCTTCTCATTTTTCAATCATCAATAGAAAAAAGTTAATAAATACATGCGATTACGGATTTTTAATACTATGCTTTAATTTATCTTAATAATTAATATTGACTTTTAATATCAATGTTGTTCATACAAATTATTGAAATAAAATTAAAATTTTAATTAAAAATAACATAAAAACATTTAAGTATAGTAAATATTTTATTTCTTATAAAAAATATTTTACAAAAATTTCATATAAATTGATATATCATATAAAAATATATTAAATGTAAACTGAGATAATTATTTGTTAAAAAAATATGTTAGCTAGTTATTCATTCTTTTAAAGGTAAGATAAAAGGTAAAATTATAAAATTTAGTAAATTTTTTATTAGTAAAAAACTAAAATATGTTGTGAAGATAAAATTGAGTATAATACATGTTTTTTCCAACTAAGTTTGTTATATTATATTTTTTAAAAATTATACATGTTGATAAATCAATCTATTATTTACATTTTAATGCTTACATGAGTGTTTTGTTTTGTTTTATTCTCTTTCATATTGATAATGTTATAATATGGATAAAAAGATAAAAGTGTATTTTTTTAATTACATTAACTAATTTATAAACAAATATCAATTATAAAGACCAAATACATATAATTAAATCTTTAAAACTAAATGTATAATTAAACCTTTATAATATTACACTTGAAAATTAATAATTTTTGGATATAGTGATTGATATTTTATAGCATTTATATCATTGAGAATAAGTGAAATAAAAAAAAATCTATAAAATGAGTAATATAATTTAAAAATAAAAATTAAATATTACAAAATTAAAATAAACAATTTTTTTTATCTTTCACTCACCGGATCACTTTTAGATACAATGAGCATTAATAATGCATGAGTGTTAGTTTAGCGACATTTATAATTATAAAAGAATTACCATATTTTATCTTTATTTAATATAAAAATTATAAAGTATTTTTTATTCAAGATTTATGGAGTTACACACCTACCATTGAGTGTCTACCTAGAAAAACATAATTTTTTACAGATATTTGTTAAAATGATTTTTATTTTTAATTTAAAGTTGAAAAGTGTTCACTTTTATTATTTTATTAATGCTTTTAAAACTGATATTTTCAAGAAAAATTTTAAAATTAAATTTTTTTAATAAAAAATTCTCATGAAAAGGACAACGATATTTTATTCTTATGAAGGTGAAAATGTGTATATATATATATATATATATATATATATATATATTCATAAAAATATTTTTGAGAATCTTTTAAATATACTAAATATATTTATAACTTTTCTAAAAACATTGATTGTTATGAAACATGATTCGTGACAAACATAATTTTCATAAACGAAAAATAGTTAATATATATCAAACACCTCCTTAGAAAAAAATTATAATAAGAGTTCATGTTTTATGAAAAAAAAATAAAATTCAGGTATACATAGAAAATTTGGATTCTCTGCAGCCCTTCGTCTTCTCCTGCAAAAAATAGCTTATGACAAATTTTGTTGCATATAAAATTTACAAACTTTTATAACTGTTAAATATAAAATTAATGGGTGAGATCTCTGTTGCAGAGACTGCACAGCTGCAGAAAATTCAAATCCATAATTTATAGAAAATCATTTAAAAATAAAAAATAAAATTCATATAAATTTAAAGACGAAAATGTCCTCTAGATGCGAGGCGTGTTGCATTTGGCATGTGGGCATTTGGTTGGAGTGATGGATCCATAATTACAATAAAGAACGATAATCATTCATGCTGGTCACTGTTGCTCCTATTCCAACAAATCAAGGTGCTCTCAACGGTGGGCCCCATCAACACAGTCTCATCCTTTCACCTCTTTTTACATTCTTCACAACCTTAACTCATTCTCCCAAAACAATCCTTTCTCATACCACACTGTTCAGTCTATTCAATTCTTCCCCAGTCACGTGTATTTTAAAAAAGATAATTTTTAATATTTTTAAATAAATTTTTTATTTTATAAGTTAGGACTTCTAAAAGATATTTAAAAATATAAAAAATAATATAAATATTATATCATCATTTACATAAATTTTATATTGTATTATATAAATTAACCATAAGTTTGATGAATTGTCCAAATCAAACATCATGTACGATCCTACCAAGGGTTAATAAGCTCTAATGCACCATATAATCTCCTCAACGCATCGTTTTTACCCCCTTGTTTTTTTTGTATTGTGTCTGTCATATCCCTCTCAGTTAGTTAAGCACTTTCCTTTTCCTCCTTTAACAGCAACCAAGGACTCGCACAAGACACCTGTTATTGGATTACATACATGATGCATCTCCATAGCAAGAATTCCATACAAAATCCAAAAACAAAATTGTGCACTGTCCTGTCCCTTTCCCTCTCTGTCCTAAAAACTATAAAAGTAAAAAATAAGATTGGTAATCCTAGAAAACCCCACAAGAAGCATGCATGCATTAATTTAAAATTTGCATGAGTATATATATATATATATATACGGAGATCAAAATTGACAATAATAGTAATTAAATAAAAAAGAAAAATAAAAACAAGATAAGAAGCTTGTGCTCAAAGCACCATCCTTTTCTTTCCCTTCTCTGTCTGTAACCTTGAACCGTTTTTCCAACATACAAAAGCAAAGAAGCAAAGCATCTTCACTTCTCGTACACATCCACATTGCCTTGCTTTGCCTTGCAAGTTTCAACCTTTTTCCTTGCTTAAGAGTTTAGCTCCCTCCTTTATTGTTATTTTTTTTCCCTTTATAAAGCCAAATGATGCACTGTTAAAACTGTCGGTGTATCTTTTTGTGCATAAATTTCTCCCAAGTTTGGAATCTCTATTTAATCCAAACGTTTAATGTGGTCAAAATGGGTCAAGAGTTCAAACTTTTTGGTTTTTGATGCCTCAAAACTTTTGTACCTGTTCATATTTTTGAGAATCATGTGAAACCCATTAGTACTTTCCCGTCGATTCCTTTTCATTTGTATAAAATGGCTCTATCTCATTGTGGTGGTTCATTTGTTCATGAGTTTTCGTTCAGAGTCCACAATGGACTCTGAGTTTATTAGAGTTAGACCCTTTCCAAAGTTTCAATCTTTGCTTTCTGGGAATTTCTGAAATATCAATAGCAGGATACTAGTTCAATTTGTTCATTCATTCTTCAACAGTGGTTTTTTCCCCAACATTGTTTTTTTGTTTTTAATTCTCTTTTCCACCTTTAATAATCTGGGAAGTGGAAAGAAAACCACCACCCCAACCTTACCATTTTTGCTGTGAGAAACCTGAAAAGCACAAGAAGAAGAAGAAAAGTAAAGTAACTCAAATGAATTTTATAACAGGTTCTCCCAAAGGCTCTTGGCAACCAATTATGACTGCCAAGACAAACGTCCAGAGTTACTGGCTTAATTGGAGAGTTTTGCTTTGTGCCATTTGGGTTTTGGCATCAATCATCTTGTCATCATTGCTTATATGGAAGTATGAACGTTCGAGAAAACCAGCAAGAAATGGTGGCAGGGAAACCCAACAAGAAACACAAGCAACTTTGTATGAGGATGAAACTTGGAGGCCTTGCCTAAAGGGAATTCACCCTGCATGGCTCATGGCTCTCAGAGTTGTAGCATTTATTGTGCTTTTGGTGCTTCTCAGTGTCAATGCTGCTGTTGATGGAGGAAGCATTTTCTACTACTACACTCAGTAAGTTCTCTTCCCTTGCTGAATTTATCTGTCTCAAATTGGAAGGGACCTTATGAATAGGCACATTGTTCTACGTTGTTTCTTGTTGGATGGAACATAAACACTGCATTTGAAACATGCTAGACTTAATCTCAAACTACAATGAAGCTAGAAGTTTTGACAGTTAAAGGGAATCGTTTATATAATTGCTATTGTTCCTTCTCTGGTCTTGGAGTCAAGCCTATGAACTTTGTTTGGAAGAGCTTATAGAAATAGTCTGTAGCTCCCATACCCTTTTTTTCCAGCTTATTTCAATAAGCTTCTTTGTATTGCTTATCAGAGTAAAACTTTTCAGCTTATTCAAAGAAGTTTTATGGTCAATTTTATAGGAAAGCTCTCATATAAGAGAGTTTATTGAATAAGCACTTAATTAGGCATGCCTTGCTTGATTTATCATACCAATTTAAGCAACTACCATTTATAGCCACTGGGCAATTTCAACTCTCACTATATTCAGGCATATTCCAAGCATTTTTTTTTGGCAGTAGATTTGATTTAATTTTTTAATAATTTCTGAAACAGGTGGACTTTTACTTCAATTACCATTTATTTTGGGGTAAGTGTTAGCCTATATCTTATTCTTCTGTATTTATGTAATTGTTACTCATGTCTATCACTTAGTATGTTGTATCATAAATACCCCTTGTCCTCGTGTGCTTGATGTTGCAGCTTGGATCTTTGCTCTCCATGTACGGATGTTACCAACATCATAAGAAAGCAACTGGGGATAAGGTTGATAATGTGGATGGAGACGCAGAGCAAGGAATGTATGTTGCTTCTGAACTACCACAGAGTTCCAATGCATCTGACCAAGAGAAAAGCTTGGGAGCCCCAGAGGAAATTCTTGTTCGCCAACATGCAGGCACATGGGGTTATATTTTTCAAATAATATTCCAGGTACACTTTTCAATTTTCTTAGATCACTGATTGAACTACAAGGATGGTTTTTTACTATGACTTTTTCAAAGATAGAGTTATAATTGTGATGAGTTCAGTTCATGGTATTACATTGCACTCTGCTTTTACCCAACTTTGATTAATACGTTCAGCATTCCTTGCATATGCTGCATGTCTCTTCCTCTAGTTTTATGTTTATAAAAGCGTATGTCAGGTAATATAGCTTTTCCATTGACCACATAATTGAATTTTGTTTGTTCACTTTTCAACAGATTAATGCAGGTGCTGTAATGCTCACTGATTGTGTATTTTGGTTCATAATTGTTCCATTTCTAACCATCAAAGATTACAACCTAAATTTTGTAAGTATAATTTTATGACCTCATTGAATGACAAACTGTTTCTCATTGATCCTTCCCTATCATATTAAATATCACTTAGTACTAATATACACAATTAATAAAATGATTAGTTTTATCAATTACTATGATAAAATAAATTGATTTCACTTAAATACTCACGTTAAAAATGCTGAAGTTATTATAGTAGTTAGGTTATTAATCTTATAATTATGTTAGTGGTTAGTTGGTAAAAAGTATCCATAAATAAGGGTATTGTTGGAAAAAATAATTATGTTTTCTTAATATTTTAAGTGACACAAATTTGAGGCAAATAAAAAAGTTCAAAAAAGGCATCTAATTTCTTATAACTCGTACCAAAAATTAGGGAGACTTCTAAGTTTAATAACCATTTGTTATACTCTATTGTGGCAGTTGATAGTCAATATGCACACAATCAATGCTGTTTTCCTTATAGGTGACACAGCTTTAAATTGTCTGGTGAGTTCCTATATTTGATTCCATTTAATTGTCGAATTTCAATGCTTATGTACCGGTAGATTCTTACCCTTAACTTTTCTTTCCTCTTTAGAGGTTCCCTTGGTTTCGAGTAGGATACTTCTGCCTGTGGACAGTCACGTATGTGATTTTCCAGTGGATTGTTCATGCTTGCATTAATCTCTGGTATGAAGTTTTTGACTCTCTGCTTTTAGTTTGGCTTAACCTAAACTACTATAATAACATCTTAGCACCATTCATTGTCTAATATAAGTTTATTCTCTGGAGAAACAGGTGGCCATATCCATTTCTTGACTTGTCATCCTCATATGCTCCACTGTGGTACCAACTTTATTTCTTTCCCATTACATTCTGCATAACTGGTCCATTTTCTAACACACCCTCTGTTTCTTTTTGTTTGTCTGTTTTAAGAGGATAATATAGATTAATGGATGCAATTAATATCTTTGTTTATATAAAAATTATTGTTAACTTCAAAATATTATCTCCACTGTTATTTGTCTCTCATTTATTATAAGTGTGTAAAAGTATCTCAGAATTAGGTACCGATAAAAGGGTAATTAAAAAGTTAACTATTAATATTTTCTTAAAAAATAAAAAAAACAAAAGTTTTTTTAACGTAAGGGTTAAGTTTAAGGGTTAAATTTAAGCATTTAAAAGTAGTAAATTTTCATTTAAAAAGAAAATATTCTTACATTATAAATATGAAAGTGTAATAAATATTTTTTTAAATAAAAGTTTACTATTTTTTTTAAAGGGATAGATAAAAACAAAAAGAGAGAAAGTAGGAAATTACTCTTATTAGTCCATGCCACTAACATGTTACCCTCATTTCCATCATTGTTCTAGCCCTTATAAGAAAAGTGATTCCTATTAATAACTTGAATTGATATGCTCACCTATTTCTTCTATGGCTTGTACTTGATATGTAGGTACTTTGCAGTGGCATTACTGCACATTCCATGCTATGGAATCTTCGCCTTGTTGATGAAGCTGAAACACTATGTCTTGTCAACGCGGTACCCGGACTCATATCAATGTGTTAGATGACTTCGTCTTAGGACCGAACTACACTAGCTACGATTTTCCGAAGAATATCGTTTTTACCATAGAACGAAAGAAGAACAAAAGTGTTAAATAGTACAATTTAGCAATAAGAATTCAGACGAACAAATAAATAGCAAAATATATCTTTTTCTTTTTTTGTTCGAGGAAGATTAGCAACTAGAATTTTGCTCACTTTCTGCTAACACATTTCATAAGGCATGCGATGCGATGTAACTAATCGTGAATTCTTAAGAACTAATCTGATTAAGCACTGAATCTCGGAAATCGGATTATCCATTAGTGTTAATTCTTGAATATCCATAATTATTTGCAACTGATCATCATGAATTCGGATAATTATTTTTTTCATGTGTTCAAAGACATTTAAAAATTTATGTATAATAATTTTTAAGAATATAATTGTAATGCACTGTCAAGTAATTATAATATATTCGGATAAGAATTAATGTATTTAAATTAACTTATTTTAATAATAGTTTTGATAAAATTTATTATTTGTTATGTATTTTTAGAGATACCTTAACTCTTGATAAAAAAAAAAGAGCATTATTGATAGGCCTAGCGAAACATCTTCTACATGTTGATGCTTGCAATCTGGCGGATGGTTAAATAAAATTAATAAAAATATGTGACAACTTGAGGCTCCTTCGTGGTGCAAAAATGTTGCCAGGATGGGGCATTATATATATACATATATATAACTTTTCTATTAAAATTTTACGGTCTCTATTACATGATTGAAACGTGATTACTTTTTTCTTCTCACAATTAACCTTATAAATGTAAATTATTTTCTTAAATTTGGATCAAGTGATTTAATCATTAACTTCTAAAAAGTTGTAATTTAGGAAAACGTTTTGCAGTACTGTTGAAGATTATATTCTTTTTTCTTTAAAGAAAATCATTTTGCATGAATGGTTATTTTTCTAAATTTATTTAAAATAAACAAGAAAAATAACTTACAAGCGAGGAAGTATAACAAAAAACTTTGTTGAATAGAAATGTTCGCAAATTGTTAAAAATATTTTTTTTTTCTCTCCAGTTAAAAAGTCATCTAATTACATCTTAAAATTATATTGCATCTTGGTTTGATTTAATTTAAAAATAAAATATTAAATCTAATATAATTTATTCAAAAGTGTTTTTTTTTTTTATAGTGTAATAAAGTTAAAATTAAGCAGAAATTAAGGCAAAGTTACTTGTCCAAACATACATCATGCAAGACGAAGTTTGGAAAGTTGGCCCAAACAGTATAAGGTGCACCAGATAAAGCCACTCAACTAACTAAGCAGTGTGTTACTCTATTCAGCTCTCAAGGAATATGCGACATATACAATGTTTAACTCCTTCCCATCAACTCCCACTGTTGTCACCATGTCTAAGCAATCAGACTTATAAATCACAAATCGGTTTCCCGTGTCCCACACGAGTGAAAGATCTTCCCTAAATGAATTTGCAAAACTATGCCTCCAATTTCCAGTACTATCTCTAATGACACCACTAGTACCCATCATATTGTTTCATGGTAACTAACTACCATCTTCTGTAACCTTAACGTAAGGGTAATCTGGAGGCCGCCAAATAACGTCTGTCTTCCAAGGCTTGTTTTGTTTTTGAATCTTTAGGTTATCAGATACGTCCATAATAATGTTCCGTATCACATAATGGGAAGTCCATGCTATACCACCCAAAACAGTAGTGTTCCGTCATCTCTAAACCCACCAAGCCATCATGGCCAGGACGCCACCATAAGGAAGCATTAGCTTATGTAAAAGATCACGTATGGGACCAACTACAAGATCTAGTGCAAGAGCACAAAGAGAATAGTCTGTTGCAGATTTGAATGAAGCTATTGCTGCATATTTGAATGAAGGGCCAACTTCACCACCTTTATCAACTCCACCAAGTCAACTAACCAGATCTGAATAAAGTGACTGTGTTTTTTGGGAACCATTTTGGGAGGGAGAATAGTATGAATGTTATATTGTATTGAGAGTAATGTAACTTTATTTTAAACAATGTGCAGTAGGTTACTTTAAGTTAGTATTCATGTGAATGAGAACTCTTTTATGGCCCACTTGTTGTGCCTTTTGATTACATTAACCAATGTACAACATGCGCACTTTTTGGGACTACTGTTCTGTATGTTGATATCTTATTTTAACACATTTTTTAATATGGAAATTTAAGGTATCATTGTCCAAATTTGGAAGTTTAAGGTAGTAATATGAAAAATTAGATAAATGGAAGTAGTAATACGAAAATATTGAATTATGGAGGTAGTTAAACAAAAATAGTTATGTATTGTGATGCAGTATTCAATTTATGGATTATGAATAAGTAATCACAACAGTAATTGGTGCTGACATGAGGCTAATGTATGTAATTACTTGCTGCTGGAATTAATTTTAAATTATATTCATTTACCAATGTGCTGAGGCTAATTATGTCATTGAACCAAATTTAATAGGCTGAACAAAATAAAAAAGCCAAAATCAATAGACTGAACAGAATAAAAAACACAGTTAACAGAGTCACGAGCATAAATCTTATGTCATTGAATTTATTTAACCATATTCAAAGCAACTATTGCTCCATTGAATTACAAACTGTCTTTATTTTAAAACTTTCCTACCAACAATATTCATTGCTACTACTAGGGGTGTCCATTGGATCGGGTAAACCAATAAACCCGATAATCCAAACCGATCCAAACTAAAAAAAATCCAAACCAATGCTTAACGGGTCCGATCCGAACCAAACCGATCAAACCCGACGTGGTTTGGTTTGGATAACGGGTATTACTATATCAACCCGATAACCCGTGTTTATACCCGATGAACCCGAGCAAATTCACTTTGAAGAGCGGTTTGGAGAGCGGTTCAATTTCAACCGCTCTCAGAAGTGACATTTGGAGAGCGGTTCAATTTCAACCGCTCTCAGAAGTGACATTTGGAGAACGGTTCAATCCGAACCGCTCTCAGAAGTGACCTTTGGAGAGCGGTTCCAATATAACCGCTCTCAGAAGTGACATTTGGAGAGCGGTTCCAATATAACCGCTCTCAGAAGTGATATTTAGAGAGCGGTTCAAACCGAACCGCTCTCAGAAGTGACCTTTGGAGAGCGGTTCGGAGAGCGGTTATATTGGAACCGCTCTGCAAATGTTTCACCCCTTAACTTAGTTACGCACTTACGCCGCTGGTGAGGACAACCGCCATTAACCTGTTTTGTTGTTCCGCTACAGCTCAACTTGGATTTCTCTCGCTTCCGCATCTCAAATTTGAATCAAAGTGAGTATATGTCTAATTTTTTCTCTACTTTTTCTGTTTTTAATTTTTACTCTGCTCTGAAATCTGTTTATGCTTATGATTTTGCAGCCCACAAATGGCAAATAACAGTGAAACTGCTGAGAATACCCCAACAAGTTCAAGTGGCATGGAACTACAGCAAGGTGGTGTAGACACTCCATTGCTGCAAGAGACTCCTGCGCAAGGACTAGAGACTCCTACACAGGGACAAGAGACTCCTACGCAAACTCAAGGACTCAAGGTATTAAAAAGAAAACCTAGTCGACCGCCATCCAATGCTTGGGAACATTTCACTAGACAAAATGACAAGGCTATTTGTAACTATTGCCAAAAGTTATATGCATCTAATAGTTCTACCCATGGAACCACAAACTTGAATAAGCATGTTTTGTGTTGTCCGAAAAACCCAAATAGGATAGTTGATAAGAGACAAAAAACACTTGCACTTGGAAAGGAGAGTGAGGATGCCTCTACTGTTAGTTTTAAACTTGTTGATTTTAATCAAGATCGAACCCGGGCAGCACTTGTTAGGATAATAATTATGGATGAGCAACCTTTTAAGTTTGTTGAGAGTCTCGGATTTAGAAAATTTATGCTTGAGGCTCAACCGAGATTCAAAATTCCTTCTCGACAAACTATTGCTAGAGAGTGCATGCTACTGTTTGAATCAGAAAAGGAGAAGTTGAAAGCTATATTGTCTAAAAATGATCAAATGGTTTCACTTACGACTGATTGTTGGACTTCAATTCAAAACATGAATTATATTTGTGTGACTGCTCATTATATTGATGCTGGGTGGGAATTGAATAAAAGGATATTAAGCTTTGGGTTGATTACTGACCACAAAGGTGACACCATAGGTAAATACCTAGAGAAATGCTTGAAAGATTGGGGGATTTCAAAGATTTGTTGTATAACTGTTGATAATGCAAGTGCTAACAACTTGGCTATTTCATATTTAATTAGGGGCATGAGTGATTGGAATGGTAGAACTTTATTAAATGGAGAGTACATGCATATGAGATGTTGTGCCCATATTTTGAACTTAATTGTTGGTGATGGTTTGAAGGAAATTGATATCTCAATTGCTAGAATTAGAGCTGCATGTAAGTTTGTTAAGGGATCTCCGCTTAGATTGGCCACTTTTAAAAGGTGTGCTCAAGAGGCAAATATACCTAGTCAAGCATTGTTAATTGTTGATTGTCCCACTAGGTGGAACTCCACTTATTTAATGTTAGAAGTTGCTGAAAAATATGAGAAAGCATTTAGTCGTCTTGAGTATGATGATCCTGCCTATTTAATAAATCTTGAGAGTGAAGGGGGGTGTCCTAATAGCGATGATTGGACTCATGCACGCATGTTTGTGAAGTTTCTGAAAATTTTCTTTGATGCAACTCTTTCCTTTTCTGGATCATTGCATGTTACATCTAATACTTTCTTCCATAAGTTGAAAGATATTAAAAAAATATTGAATAAGTGGAGGCAAAGTAATGATATTGTATTACAAAGGATGACCAAAAATATGCAAGTCAAGTTTAGCAAGTATTGGGAGAATGACACTATAAATTATCTCCTATTTGTGGTTGTTTTCCTTGATCCTCGCTATAAGCTTGAGTATCTTGAGTTTTGTTTTAAGCGGATGTATGGTGTAGAAAAATGCAATGAATTGATGAAAAAGTTGAAGGACCTCATCAATAAATTGGTTGAACTTTATATGACACAGTATCCTATTGATGAATCTAGTAGTGTTGCCTCTCAGTCTAATCTTGATATTAGCAATGATGGTAATGATGATGATGATGCATGGGAGGATGAATTTAGAATGAATGTGAAAAAAAAGCAAGGTCAAGTGAAAAGGAATGAGATAGAAAGGTACTTGGAGGATGATGTTGAAGACAATGCTCCCGGATTTGATATTTTGCAATGGTGGAAATCAAAGTCCTCAACGAAATATTATGTTCTTTCTCATATGGCTAGAGATATATTGGCTATTCCAGTGTCCACTGTATCCTCTGAGTCAACATTTAGCACAGGAGGTCGAGTTCTTGACCCATTTCGTAGTTGTTTAAGTCCCACAACTGTTGAAGCTTTAATTTGTACCCAAAATTGGATAAAAGCTAGCAAGAAGGTTGATTTACAGGCTGAAATGGATCAACTTACGATGCTTGGAGAAGGTATTGAACTTGTTAATTTTTTAATCTATATCTTCAAAGTTCTATATTTATTTCGTTTTGAACTAATTTTTTTCCCCTTTTTATGTTTCTGTTTGAATTATTTTGGCTTCAGAGATGGCTGAGGCTGAAGCATTTACAGATGTTCAAGTTCAACCCAATATATCCACTTCTTGAATTTAATTTTTTTGTTTTGATTGAGACTTATTTTGAATTTATATATTTGTATTAGAATGTTGTGTAATTGTGTTAAATTTATGTGTAAAAAATTATTCAAATGAAAAATATTGATATTTTTCTATTTTTTTTATACATATTTTATTTTAGTTTATTTTATCGGAAAACCCGATGATCCAAACCGAACCAACCCGTTCGTGTTTGGTTCGGTTTGGTTCGGATTTTCAATTTTTTTTTACAAATCCAAACCAAACCAAACCAATCAATTTTTGATCGGTTCGGATTTTTTTTTCTCCTAAACCCAAACTAAATCGACCCGTGGACACCCCTAGCTACTACAATGCTGACAATGGTAATGAAAAATCAAAACACAATCACTAAACATCTTAAAATCTTCACCCTATTCCTCTCAACAACAATCTTTTTCTTTTTCTGAGATATTTTAAGCTTCATTGCTGCAAGTTGTTGCTGGAGATTATCACATTCTTGATGAAGTCTCACCATCTCTTCTTTAGTTTTTGCCATTTTCTCCTCAGTTGCTTTTTCAACCTCCATTAAATCACCAATCTTTGCCTTTAACTCTTGAATTTTATGGATTTCTTTCGACATAACAGACTTATTGTCCTCATCTATAGGGTCTTTAACCCAACGAAAATAATTGCAAGAATTAGGTTCCTGCAAACCAAATACAAACAAATTTGTAAACACAATCGCACACAATCGTAAATTTAGAACAAATCTGTAGCAAGTTGAACTTACATTCCAACCAGAGCATCTCCAAAATCTTCTACCAAGATTAACCTTGCTCTGTGAGGTCAAAATTATAGTCGGTATTTTACATTTGCAAGTTAAACCACGTTCAATAGATGAGCATGATGAACCATCAACATTACTCATTTCGTGAAGACGAAGACTCAAAACGGAACCCCAGATGGATAATGACAACACACGATAAAGAACCCTAACTTTCCTTTTCCTTTTCTACTTCTTCTTCCTTTTAAATTCGTTTTCAGCGTCTTCGTTCAGTACTTCTTCAATTACAAATTTAGATTTGGCCCTCTTTCCCTCATATCAGCCAAAACGCAAATGTAACTTTTAGGTTAAAATTTAAAAATGCTGATGTGGAATCTGATGTAGTAGTTTAGGGTGAGGTGAATGAGAGAGAACGACGGTGACGTGGCAAAGTGTTAGCCACATCACCAATTAACTGACGAAGGTTAACGTCAGATATAAATTTGAAAAAAAAAATTAGTTAGGCATTAAAATGAAAAAAAAAATTTCTGAGGTAGTTTTTTAAATTTATCCCTATTTAGAGGAAGTCAAAACATATTTAAACCTTAATTTTATGTATATTTATGAGTTTAAAATAATAAATTAATAAAAAATAAAATTAAATATTTTATAATCATTTTATTTTTTCTTTTAATTTAATAATTAGCATTATTGTTATTATATATATATATATATATATTGAATTTAATTTAAAATTTTATATTAAGTTTTATTACAAATTTTTTATTAAGATAAAAATTTAAAAATATAAGTTATTTTAATTTAAATATAAATTATATTAAATTAAGATGAGTCAAAATTTAAATTTATAAATATTTATTAGTTCTTACTATGTTCACATATTATTTTTCTACATCGATAAATTTTATAATGCAAAATATTCTATGTCTACAATTTCTACAATGAAAATATTTTTTTTTTAATGTATTAACTTTCATTAAGTTGATTTGACAAATTTTGTCAATATTATTTTTTATTGTTTATTTTATCTGTTTATTATAACTTTATTTATTGAAAATAAAATATTTTTACACAAATAAAATATAATTCTCAGAAGGAAAAAAACTAAAATCTATAATATTTTTAATAATTTTATAAGATAAATAAAATAATAATAAAAATTTTATAATATGAAAAAATTATAGTTAATATTCAAATAATATTTTAAAATTTATTTATAAAATTATATAATAATTTTTATTTTTATTAATTTTATTTAATAACAACAATCATTATAAATAACTAATATTATATAAATTTTATTTTTCTTTTTCTTTTTTTAAGTAATTTTATTAGACTACAAGTTTATAATAAAAAAATATCATATAAAATAAATATTTTTATTGAATATTTTAATAATTATTAAAATTCATATCAACTTTTCTCAAATCTAAATTTTTTAAGGACGTGTAAATGTTTTTGGTCCACAAAACTTTGAACTTAACTCTAGTCTTATTGACTTTTTTGCCTTATGAACTTCTGATTTGACGGACTTTTTGACCCTCACTCAGATGGAGTAAAGCAAAGGCTGTGCCAAATAAACTTTTTGACAACTCTATTTTCAAGTGCATGAATTCTGCTGTGTTTTTCCATATCCATAGCTCTCTTCTCATCGGTAAACCAATGTTATATATAATGTGGCAACAATTTTTACGTACAATAAAAACTGATTATAGATTCTCAATGGTAAACCAATGTTCCATACTGAATAAGAGTAAAATGGATTAGTGGATGGATTACGTAAGATTTAAACAATATTTTAATGCTTCCTACATGGATTATTAGTTTATTTTTTATCCATCCAATTCAAAAATCCAATCATTCCATCCATTTGCCACTGCTTATATCTCCTAGAGTTATATTCAATAAATGCGACAAAAGCAAGCAATAGTCATTGAAGATAAAAGAAAAGAATGAAGAAAAAAAAAGGCTTAGCACACTATACATGAATTTTTGCTACAAAGAATGGCAAGCCCAAAAAATGACTACATAAACAACTGTGATTATCGAAGAAACCTCCTAAGATGCAATAGAATGAGTGGTATAGCTGATCAACCTTGAGATATAGACAGACAACTCTATTCTAAGGTACAGGATGTGATCATAAAGAAGTGCTAGGAAAGGAACCCATTGAAATAATATTTTCGTCTTTATGCTCCCCAGACATCTCAGGCTTTTCCTTCGTAAACAGTCCAGAGAGGAACCTGGTTGATAACCCAGAACTCAGTCCCCTACCAAACAAGTCCAAAACTCCTCTTGTTTCACCACCTCCCATTTGGCATGCTCTGTTAGATAAGCTCCGTGTCTCGTTCAATCTGAGTTGTGCTCCACAAGGACAATTTGCAAGTTTTCTAAAGCAACGCTTATGGAAAACCAATTGACAAGCTTTACACCTTTCAATATCATCTTCCTGGCGATAATTTAGTTTTAGACTCAGTGATACTTTCATTATATTAAGAATTTCAAGACTATTAACAAAATAAAATGGAAGAAAAACAGTGAGGATATTTGGGCTTTTTTATGTGCCAATGGGCAAACAATAAGTCAAAAATAAATTATTTTTATTGAAAAAGAAAGTATTTTATTGTATTGAAATTACAAAAAGTCATTTAAGATTTGTTTTTACGCAATTTAAATAATTTAATATGGGTGTATTTAATGCTTTCACACCATGTGCTTATGGGTACCCAATAAACAATCCATTAACTCTTTCACAAGAGAAGAGATCCATAGCACCCCCTACACCCAATAAGAATCCCAACTCTGGATTACAGGAAATTCAACTGAAAGTAAACGAGACATAGTTTGTGATTAAAAATAATTACAAATCAGAACTCAATAAAAAGGAAGATAATGAAGAAACAAAATGTCATTTTATGATAAACTAGTCACACTTTTAGTTAATCATTATTATTTTACCAAGAATCAACAAGAACAGACAAGCAAGACCCTCAAGCAGCACAGCTTTGTAATATTCAAACCAATGCAACTAAATGCAATCGTGACATCCCTTTTGCTTGCATTTACATCATGTAAATGCAGAAAATCTGGTACATGCACAGACATAACCTCAGTCAAAATATCCAGTTGGTGGAATTCAGTTGCTTATTTACTGGTAGAAGGACGGATAGATTTAAAAGAGGTGTAGTGCAACGCACACCTATTTCAGCCACAATGTAGGACCCTACACAGAGTTCATTGAATCTGTGAAGTGTGTCAAACAGAAATGTGATGTAATTAATGCTCCGTTTGTATTTCTTTGAGAATCAATTTTAACCCAATCGAAAAATTATCGAAGCTGTTCAACATCCACAGTAATTCATGCCAAAAAAAATAAGAAAGCATGTCATGGCTGGCAAACTCCATTGGGTTCCTGATACAAACAGGCTTTCAATTTAAATCCTCTAAAATACACCACGTTTGCACCATGCACCATTAATTCAATGTAGTTATTCTGTAATTCATAAAAATTTGAAGCGTTGTTATATGCACATATATGCAGATAAGTTTTATAAAGAGATCTCAAAGACTCCCATTATTACCATTCATTTTTTTCTCCCATTCTTTCCCCTTTATTTCAAAACTCAATTGTCCAAGTTTGAGAGATCTGTAAACTTCCTCATTCTGTGCAACTATACTTTGCCAAATCTAATGCAATTTTTTCATCAACTGCCCACCCTGCACTTTATTCTCTACAATGCAACTAGCCACCTAGGGAGCCTGATTAAAATTCTAGGAAGAAATCATTTTCTTTCTCATTGATATATCATTCTTACTTCAATTAATTCTATACTATAGAATCTTAGCAACTGACAGATACACACCTGAAATGGGAAAATGAGAGAAGATGGGTCACTGCATTCTTGTCGAGCATTGCAGGGGACTCCCACATCACAGCATACGAGGCATTGGTCAGTAATGTGTTCCAGGATTTTCCTTGACAGAGTCTCCACCATCACAGGAAGTGCTGCATAAAAGTTGCTTTACATTAAAAAATTGGATATAATTAGGAAATGCAACATAACAACTTCAAATTAACCACTGCTTAGCTCCGAATCATGTAATTAATAGCCTCCAGTTCTATGTTCTTATTTAAGTGAAGAGAAAGAAATGTGCAGGAAGAGACTATATAGGCCATTAATTATAAATCACAATGCCCACCTCCAAACAAAAATATGTCAATTGCAGAGTCTGAATTAGATCCCATTTTAACAGACTAACAGTCAAAATTCCCAGTTTTGGGTTGCAGGTCTATCCACTTAAATAGTCAAAAACTATATACATATAAATGCTCAAAACTTAAAATATTATTATACTCAAAATTCATGGCATATTCATAATTGAAAATAAAAAAATTCAAAAGTTTTAAGCAAAACATACAGGTAAATAACAATCAAAGCTAAGGAAACAAACAAAATGAAGTTGCTGGTTGTAGTGTGGGTATTGTACAGTAGATAGGAGCATGGGAATCTACATCCAATTAGGATTTTTTTTAAGTTTTAAAAAGGGAAGGGAAATATCAATGTTGCCCCTAAAAAATACCCCACATCAATGTTGTTTTGAGTACATGAGTTTTTTTTTTAGGAAAAATTTCACTTTAGCGCTGGTACGGCTGTAAATAGGAATGAAAATAGGTCAGGCCGTCCGACAGGAGCCTACGGCCTAGTTTTTTTAAAGTCTAGCTTGACCTAGCCTATTTAATTAATATGCTTAATTAAGCTTTTTAAAAAATCTATTTAATTAAATAGGTCAGACTTGAGCTTAAAAAAAAGCTTATTAGGCCTGTTAGAATGACTTATTTTAAATTTATAATAATATATTAAATATTTTTATATAAAAATTATAATATAATAATATATTAAATTAATTAAATTTTAAAATAATAAAATCTTAAATTAAAAAATTTAATTCTTTTTGTTAAAGTTGAAGAAGGTTTCTACTACATACTCTCTAATAGTTTATTTAGATATAAGCCTTATGAATTTTAAAAAGACATAGCTATTTAGATGGTTTAATAACCTATTTATAAGAAAGCTTAATGATCTATTGAATGTCTCAATACGAAGTAGTCCGTTAAAAAGACTAATAGGCCAAATCAAACTTTTAAAAAAGTCAAACTTAGGCTTCAAAATTATTAAATAGGTCAGGCCTATTTATGTAAAGCCTAACGTAACCTATTTCCATCCCTAGCTGCAAATACAGCTGCTATGACCACTATTTGAAAGCGAACCGCAATTCAAACTTTTTATTGGCCCATGGCCCTTCTACACCACTATAAGTGCCATTATGGCCTGCTATTCATAACTATGATTCAGTCACACATGAATAGATTCGAAGTACATAATGATTAATAAAGCCATCCCACCAGGGCAGAAAATTTGAAAAATAATTACTAATAGAATCTAACTGGTCAGAATGTAAATTTCAGTGTTAGGACTAAGTAATGCATGTCTGTGCATGCATCAAAACTGGGCTTTAGATATGATTGCATCAAACCCAAATTTATTTGTGAAAAGAACAGAAACACCTGTCAGCGGAAATTAACTGAAATGAACTTCCAATTACAGCACAAAGAAGCAATAAGCCAAAAACAGAAGCTAACCAGCAAAGACTCCTTTAGAAAGTTCAATCAAATCTCTAAGAGCAAAAAAGTCATTGTTTTCAAGAAGATATCTCCTGTTTCCAAGTCCTCTGTTGATAGACCTCCGAAATGGGCAGCGAACATATGGAAGCATTGTTCCTATCTTTTTTCTGACACTCATGATGTGAAGCAAGGCTGGGACCTTTGACAAAAGCAAGGGATTAACTGCAGTGACACAAAGCATAGGCTGCAAAAGAAATTTCATTAATAAAAATGAGAACTGAATGGTAATAATAACTTGAAAACATACCAAGTTAAAATGGATGAGAAGGAAAAGAATCACCATCTATTGTATTGATCAATAAACAACACAAATATTTGTGTTCAATTCCCAAGTTATGCACTCGTTTTCTACTTAAAACAATTTTTGGGGGCTCTTGGTAGGAAATTGGATCCAAATCCAGTCAATGGCAGCAAATCAATGAAGAGAGAATATAAAAAATACAATTAACCAACACCAACCAAGAAAAGCCTTGAAAGTTTGATATGAACATGAAATGAGCCAATGAGACCTTAACACGCATCAATATGCATCAGTGTAGAAATTCTACACCACTTCACAATCTGTTTCCCCAATGCTAATATTAATTCCAAGAAAAAACAAATAGCAGACTCTCAAACTAGTAATCACTACATCAGTCTATATCCACCCTAAAGAATAAAGATGGCAAACTATAGTTTTCTGCACCCAACAAAGAGAAGAGAGAGAAGTAGCAGCTCTTTCTAGTCAACTGGTAGCCTTATATATTAGAGTATACTGTATCCATCCCCGGCTGCTGAACTGATGTAGAACTCTGAGTAGGGTAGCTGTGTCAGCTTGAGCAGCTCATGACAGCTGTTAAACTGAATTGGGATGCATTCGGATAAATAGCTTAATTAAGCACGTATTTAATAAGGTTTGTGTCACACAAAAGCTCATGGCATAAATTTGACAATGAAAATTATTGAAAAAACTCAAAAAGTTGAAAAGAGCTTAGTTTGATTTAGTTATACCAAAAGCATATTGAAGTAAGCTAAAACGAGCTCATAAGAGCCATGAATTATTTTCATGAGCTCCTGATAAACCCTTCCAAATTCCCCTTTGGTCAGTTATAGTTAGCTTAAGGAGAAAGTTTTAGATTCTGTTGTAACAGACTTAGAATAGCTAACAACCTTGCAGTTACAGATCTAACAGTTTTATAACTATAAAATACACAGTAATGTAATTATATTTTATTCATTCAATTCAGAAATACAAATATTGATATGAATCAAATAACAAGTGATCAAGGAATGATACAACGTAAATCAAATTCTGTAAGAGATCAATTACAAATTCCAAGTAGGCCCATCAGAAGACAACAAATTATAAGGTTCAAGACTTCAAGGAAGCTTTAAATGAACAGCTTCAAGAAACTTGGGCTAAAGATGAAGCTATTAAAAGAGATTTTGGGTAGGTGCATTAAGATAAGGTGATTGACTTGATTAAGATTTATAATTTATTAATATTTGTTTTAATTTATTTGAATTTGTTATTATAGGATTTATTTCCTATTAGGACGAGGACTCTCTCACAATATTAGGATTTATTTTTTGATTATATAATTATTTTTTTATTGCTAGGATTTGTTTTTGATGCTTAGGATTTATTCTTTATAACTTGTTTTTTACCATATTTTTGTATAAATAGGAAGTTATGTAATTCAAAAGAATGAAGTTAAGTTAAATGAAAATAGAATTTTCTCCAAATTGTAAGATCTTCTCTTTCATTATTGGGTAAAGAACTAATCCAATCTTATCAAGGCAACTTGTGGGGATCAACACATGGCTTATCACTCACCTTCTCTTCTCCTTTTTTGAGTATGACGTCAATATTCTTCCCCAAACTTGAAAATCAAAGCAATCCATTTACCGTTTTGTATCAAATATTGATTCAAAGATTCACCAAATTCTCTATCAGATTTTTTCTCACTTTATATCATTTTCCCTTACTTTCTCAACACAAGTTTCCTCACATCATACATTGGACATCAAACACAAATTTGAAGTGTTGGTAGTAAAATTACCTTATCATGTATAGAATCCAGATAAGACTTTGCAAGCTGAGAAACAGGATAATGAGTGAAATCCCAATGATGTAAAACCCTTGCTGGCAAGACTGCTGTCTCATTTGTATGGCAAGAAGAGCAAAACAACTGACCAGTGTATTCACAAAGTCGAGACTTACCCCATCCAAATGTCTGTACGAAATCCCAAATCAAAGCTTTTCCATCATCAAAATGTTTATGGCATCCAGCACATGTGTGTTGTTGTGCTTCTAATAACTTTTTCATAGATTTGTTTGGTGGAATTTCAACTATAAGTGAAATGGTTTTCCCTAAAGTGGAAGAGTTCTGAATATTTTCCCCTCTTGTAAAAGAAGACTGAGACACAGGTGTATCTGAGACAGGTGAAGTAGGAAATGAATCTTGATGGGACAAAAACCAAATCAATGCTTTTGGAGGACTTGAAAAGGACCTGGAGCGGAGAATAGACTGCAAACACTCTTGAATGAGAACACTTCTCTTCACAATAATATCAGGAGATGATGCACTTCTAAATATCTTGGTTTCCTTTTCAACAGAAGACCAAGGCAAAGGTAATTTCCAGCCTTGCTCATTGAATAAGGTTTTCATGCAACGATAAAAAGCAAGGAAATCGCGATATCTTCTTTCAACTTCCCACTGATCCTTGCCACTATACACTTTAATTTTATATACAGTGTATTCCTTCACCCCAACCAATCTTTCACTGAAAGAAACATCCCCTTTCTTCTGCCTTGCACCTACCACTTCAATCTTATCTATTCTTCTTGGGCGCTGAACAAGCAGGTAAGCATCATCTGTAGTAGAAGTCGAAGCAGTCAACCCACCATCTCTTAAAGGTGTAGCCAATTGTGGCTCAAGCAGTCTGTTGCTACCCATGGAAAACCTAGCCCCAGGAGAATCCATAGATTCCAGTAAAATTTCTTCCATTTCCTGAACAACCTCATCATAGAATTCATTTAACTCAAAGTCCTCAATCTGCAATATTAGGTGAAAAATTAAACCCAATATAGGTAAAATGACTATTTGTCACAAAGTTTAACTCAAGTAAATGTGCAGACAAATTGAGTTGCTTCAAACTGTAAGTCTATGGCAACATTCTTACAATCTTGTCTTATGGGGCAAGGGCAAGGTATAAAAACAGCCTTTCTTGACAACTGTAAATATAGGGAAATGAAAGGCTAATAATCATTCATGCAATCTTTTCAAAATTAAACAAATAATAATAGTTTAGATTCGAGGCTGTAGTTTCAATTGAATCCATTTTACTGAATTATCTAAATAAATAATTTCAATACTCAACCAAATAGTCATCCTGAAATTATGCATGTTTTGCTAATATCAAGTAAGAATTGCCATATAAAACCCAATGGATTTGCACAAGTTTTCAAATCATGGCCTGCATCACTTGATGTGGCCATGACAATTCGGATGGAGCAGCCACTTCATCTGCATCACACCGAAACTCCATCCCACATTGGCTCACAACAGCCATAATGCAACGATGACCTTGACACAACTACAACCGCAATTAAAACCTTGAGTTTACATATTAATTAACATTTTACAAAATTGAAATAGAAAATATAATAACTGAAGATGTTGAAAACGATAGCTTGAAAGACTACAGGACACATTGCTTACCTTAGATGTCACAGGACTTTCTTCAAAGAGATCAGTTGAAGTGGAAGAGCTCTCTAATGTTTTCCTTGTTCTACTATTCAAAGGCTGCGCAATTTTTTCAAGGCTCTCAAATGATTTTGCATTAATATCCCCTAGTTGGTTGGATAGATTGAAAGAATTTTTATCAACTCTGTTATCGCAAAAGTGATCCAACTTGAACTTAGAATTATCCAGCTCCGGGTTTACAAGTTGAGCATTACCAGTGGCAATAGCTTTCTCAATGTTGACACACTGATTCCTCCTTTCCATGCTACCACCATCAGTAGCATCCAAACCCATATCCTGAGGAGCTTCTTTTGCCAACAGATTCAAATCAACTTCGTCAACCTTAGTCATTGAAGTAGTATCAGTACAACTAATCAATATGTCAGACCCTTGGACCTGTGGTATGACACCATTAGAACAATCAGTTAAGGGAAAACTTTCTGTTATGGTATTACACACATCAGCATTTTGAACTTGACCACATGCTGCAATAATTTCCCCATCCCGGGCCTCTTTTATAGCAGCAGAACAATCAATATCTTTAGTTTCTTCAACTTCTTTATTGACCATGATCGTGTCATTTCCATCTTTTTCTTCCTCCTGACCAAAACCATTCAAACCCACAGACCCAGAATCCACCCTATTCTCTTGAACTTGACCATTATTTTCCCGCCGATCACAAAACAGATCATTCATGCCAGACATTGGTCCGTTTTGCAGCAAGAAATCATCCAAGTCTCGTGAACCAAATGCCACGGAAGAGTCCATAAACAAGGAATTCTCATTTCCCACTTCCAGCTTCCTATGATAATCATCCAAGTCTCGTGAACCAAAGGCCACAGAAGAGTTCATAAACAAGGAATTCTCATTTCCCGCTTCCAGCTTCCTATGATAATCATCCAAGTCTCGTAAACCAAAGGCCACAGAGGAGTTCATAATCAAAGGATCCTCGCTCCGCACTTCTGGCTCCCGACGATAACACACACTCCTCGACAAATAAGTCTCATTTCCTTCATCACCATCACTCCCATAATCATAAACAGAATCATCACCCTCCGAAAATTCCCCTTCTTCTTCCCTCTTCAACTCTCTGTCTTCAATTTCCAATCCAAAACCATCGATTCCGTTTCCACCATCCTCTTCACGATTCCCCTTAGACACTTCATTTTCCTTAAACCCGATCAACTCTGACGAATCGAGCACAGTCATAGAAAGGTCATCACTGCAATCACCGTACAACTCCAATCCACTGGAACCGTAGCGCAAATTCCGCTTCTGGTCGTTGTTCCTAATCTCCACGATTCCTCTTCCTAAATTCAAATTCTCTAAACCGTTGTTACCGTCGACGGAAGAACAAGCAAAGTCGCAATCGGAGAAATCATGGAACAGCGTTATGGCGCTGCACATGCTCATGCTGGTGTTTGGGGTCCCCATCACCGAGTTGGCGCTACAATAGCGCTCGAACTCGGAATCGGAAGAGTGACGCGATGCACCGTCCGATTGCCGAATCCGTAACGGAGGGAACGAATCCAACGGATCTGGTGAACCAACTTCACCTCTTCCGTTCATCATTTCATACTCCAAATAACGATGAAATAAAAAATCAAAAAGTGAGATTGAATTTGATCGAAGAGAAACAGGGACGCGAAGCTCTGGTTGTGGAAGGTTCTAGAAGGAACCGCAGGGTTCGATCGAGGTAAATAGAGCACAGTAGGGAGAGAGACGCTTCGCTGAAACACAAGGGTTGGGAAGACGATGAAGTAGGAAAATAAAGAGTAAAAATAAAAATGAGAATCGGATCTTCGCTATTTTGTCTTTAAAAAATAAAAATAAAAAATTGAAGAAATAATGAGAAGGGAGAAAAGTGGATTCAAAACTACCGGTGCAAAATACCATTTATATGCATCTTACTTCAACTACCATTCTCCCAATCAACTCTACCTTGCGCGCGTCTGAAAACTCAGCATGCAGAAAGAGATAGATTATACGATAATTTTTATTTTTATTTTTATTTTTATTTTATTTTTTTGTTTTACTTTTGGGGCTTTGAGTTTGACTAACTCAATTTATGAATTTTTTTCTTCTTTTGTTTGATTCTTTTTCAAGTTATGTATTTGATTATATTATATATTCATCAAAAAATATTTAATGCCATTATTTTTTTAAAATTTCTATTATGAATTAAGGCAATTTTTTTTTGTTAACTTAGTAAATAAATGCTGATGATGAAGTAAAAAGTAAAAATTTATTAACAGCAAAATAGTATGATTAAAGTATTTAGTGTATATATATTATTTTCTTAAAAAAATAAATATATTACACGAGTCTTTTTTATTTTAAAATATTATAATTTCTTCTTTAAAATTTTAAAATACATCATAATTTTATTTATTTTATTTTTTCGTTAAAAAACTATTAAACATGTGTTTGATATTTTTTTACTAAAATATTAATTTTTTAATATTTTTTCCTTTTATTAAGGTTTTTTTCAAGAAATTTAATAAGATAAATGTTATAAATAAAATAGTAACTACTTGTTATTACTATAAGAATTGTAAAGCTTATTTCAATATCAAATAATAAAATTAAAATTAAAAAATCACCTTTTGTGAAAAATATATAAGAGTCTAAATAACTTACAACTTTAATACATCTTAAAAAAGATAAAGTGTGAAAAAGTTCAAAAATTAAGGCATTTATAAAAATTCAACTATGATCAAAAGATAATTGGCAATTTTAAAATTATATATATAGTGTGTGTGAACTGTGAAAGTATATGAAATATAAAATATTTAAAAAAAATTTAAATGATATTTTTTACTATGTAAAATTAAATGAACTAAACAGTATATTTTCTAATAAGAAGAAATGAAGCGTAATATTTGTATCTTCTAGGAAAGCAAAGTGTATTTTAATCTTAGTGAAATTTAGTTTTTGTTTAGTCTTCTCTCATTTTTTTTCCATGATTTTATGGAGATTATTTTTTTCACCACTTTGTTTTTCTACTCACACCACATTTTTTTTATTATGATTTTCAAATTTAATTTTTTGAAAATTCTTTTTATACTTTGTAAAAATTCATTTTTGTAAGTGATTTGTAAACGCTTTTCAAAATGTATTATTTAAAGGTGATTTTATACTTTTCAAAAGCTAAATTTTATAAGTCACTTGCTAGTAAATTTTTAAAAATAAATTTTAAAAGTGACTTGGTACCTGCCAAAATTAAATTCTAAAATTCATTTACAAATCACTTTTAAATTTAATTTTCAAAAAATATTAAATAAAATTTCAAAAAAATTCAAAATTCATAAAAAAAAAAAGTGGGCACCAGGCCCTACACAGATCAAGACCAGGCCCAACTAGCCACAAAAACCATTTAGTTGTTACATTGTTTAGATTCAGGCTTACTTTCAGGGTCCAATAGCTTCCTTCAGGTTTATAACCAATAAGATCGTTGCACGCTGCAAATGAAAATCACCCCCAACCGTTAAAAGAATATTTCGTGTTTCAACGCTTTTCAGCTCTCAAAGCATAGAACCGGCCAGGTACAATGTGTTACAGATTTTTCTAAGATGTGAAGCATCTAAAGAGGACACAATTAAAATCTATATAATAAATTTTTATTAAAAATTACAACATCCAATACACAATTTTTTAATAAAATATTATGCCACTTTTTATTTTCCTTGAACGAAAACATGCTAAATTCTTATCCTCCTTTCCTATTGTAAAACCTTTTTGCACAGTAATGAAAGATAAATACTTTTTCAACACATTAAATTACATTATTTTGTACGTCTCTTCTGCAATACATGTATGAGGCCTTCCAAGCTCCTCCATGTTTGAATCCAGTAATCAAGTACAAAACTCAATCGTGATTCACACAAACTATTCAGGCATATTCAATAGCTACACCATTTTAATTGTCTGCAATAACAAGAGAGGCAAAAGAAAGTTAGCAGCTAACACGAAATTGTAATTGGGCTAGATGCAAGATCCAATTTAACTCACATTTGAAATATCCTTCCACATGTTGAGAGTTTTGAGAGCCTTTCCTGCTTGTTGGGTTTCACGCGCCACGGACACGCCTTCAGCTAGGTTCTTTACATGGCCGCTGACCAAGAGAGCTGCCGCTGCGTTCAGAACCTAGCCATTGTTTTTGAACCGAATAATCAAAATATATCTTGTGAGCAAGCCATGTTTAAAAAATATATCTTTTGGAGACAAGTGCATTCATAAAGGGCCAGACAAGTTGCAAAATATATCTTAGGAGACAACCACACTCAAAACGAGTGAGACAAATATAAAAATATTATGCAGGACATAACATGAATTTCGGTATTTCCCTGAGAAAGATTGAAATGAAAAGAACAATAATGTGCCTCTACATGGATTTCAGTAAAATAGCACTCTGAAGCGGCAAGAGAAGTTTTACTTTAGTGGTAAAGTAAAAGTATAGACACAAGCAGCTGCTTTTTATATTTCATCAACAGGACAACTTTCATCTGGTTAAGATGCAAAATGTTCTACACTGGAAGAAAACATTGAAAAGTAAAAAAGTTATCAAGGTAGGTTATTGATGAAATTCAACAGTGTATATAAGTTTCTTCAAAACGTAGAGTCACAATCTTCATCTCCTTATGAAGCAATTCAGAGCCATAAACCCATAACAAAATATGGAGGTAAGACTAAAAACAATTTGCATAGAATTGAAGGTAACAGGTTCAAATTAAGACAGAAAGGAACAGGTTCCATCTTAATCGAAATTTCATTGACTCAAAGCTGAAGTTAGTTGAAAGCATCGTTTATACTTTTCATTCCAGGGCTTCCTATGATTTACACAAAGATATTATCCTGTCAACTATTTAAAAGATTGGAAGACTAAGAGAAAGAAACACAAAGATACTCACCAAAGCATCTGCAATAGGTCCTCTTTCTCCACCTAGAACACGCTTCAGAACCTCTGCATTGTATTCTGGGCCACCACCTCTTAAGCTTTCAATATTACACCGAGGAATGCCAAACCCCACTGTTCCAATAAACAATCTAACATAAAGAGTATATTCAAGTATGCATGTCCAATAAAAGATCTGTTATAGCAATCAATTAGTAGCAAATGAGCTATATTAATTTATGTCATAACAAAAACAGATAAAACCATAAATTATGATATGCTTACAAGGATCAAATGCAAACTTATCAACCCTATCTGGAGTAACGTCAAGCACTATACCAGGTCCTGCATGTAATGCAAACAAGAGGTCATAAAGTAGCACAACCGATCAGATTTAGATGCATATTTCTTTCAAAAAAACAAAAGGATTTCCAGATGCTTAACAAGCTAAATCTTACCAAGAGGACTCATTTCATCCAAACCTTCAGAGTGGACAACTAAAGCTCTTTTCAGGCCAAATCTATGGAGTGCTTTGGCCATTTTGAAGACCTATCCAGAGGGCCAAGACAAATAGCTTATTAGGTATGAAATTGATGGAGAAAAGTAGGATCCTCAAACATTCAGTATCAATCTTTTTTTTATTCTTTTCTGAGGAAAAGATACAAAGAAAGTAAAGAAAGAAAAGAAAAAGTTTATGGAATAAGTGTAAAATTAAAAAAAAAAAAAACTGAATAATCCATAAAGTTTATTTGTCAAAAGTTCAATTTGGCTAAAATCTCTTTGGAAAAACAGACTGACTCTAGGCAATTTAAATTTTTTAATTTTTAAATTGAGCAGAAACAGTCAGTAGGATTACAGAGCTCTTTCAGAGGATACAAATACAAAAACTTTGAAGGAAAACACCAGGAGACAGAACTTCAAAGCCAGAGCTCAGTCGCTTCGTACACCAATATTTAAGAAATAAAGAAGAAAAAAAGAGTAAAATGGATTCGAGAGAGGAGGGCCGAACTTGTCTACCATGTTAAGTTTTGATTTAAACCAATTACTTCAAAATCCAAGCTGCTTTCAGAATTATCAATCTTCAAATACCTAACGTTAGAGGCAATAGAATTCTTATATTTCCTCTTTTCTAGATTAGATATTCTATCCTTGACTCAAAATTCTCTCTTTCAAAATACTAGCAAAGATTACAGTGCATGTAAATGATACCGAATGAGAGGGAAGCCATTTCCAGTAAGATTACATGACTGATCAAATCTCTATGATGGAACTTACCAAGTCTTCTGTGTATACTCCAACAACTGCAAAAGGTGCCTGTGCTGGATTCAACATGGGACCCAATATATTGAATACAGTTTTTATCTTTAGCTTCTTTCTTACAGGCCTGACAATCTTCATCGCCGGATGATACTTTGGAGACATCATAAACCCAATTCCAGCTTCATTCACACACTTCTTTACCCCCTGATTCGCAAGAACACGAGAATAACACCGATGAACAACAATTTCTGTCTGATAAAATTCTATCAATCAAAGACTCATTCGCATACAAACTTAAGTCAATATTAACAATAAACAAACTACAGCATTAGACATTCTACATTTCATTTGATTAACTCAACATGAACAAATGTTTGCATTGTTAATGTAATTTTCACTAACCTCAGGACCCAAGTCAATAACCACCCCCAACGCTTCTAACACGTCGGCACTCCCACACGCAGAGGAACTCGATCGGTTTCCTTGCTGCAAATCATCAACACAGAGACAGATTCGTTCACATAATTCACATGTTAAGCACAATGCACACATTAATTATACACATCCCACACACCTTCGCAACTTTGGCACCGCAAGCCGCGGCAAGAATCGAAGCCCCGGTGGAAATGTTAACAGTGTTGGCACCATCCCCTCCAGTTCCAACTATGTCAACCACATCAACCAAACCCTCAACCTTCCTCGCATGTTTGATCATTGCCCTCGCTAACCCCACAATCTATCCACATAACAAAAACCATTCATTTCATCACCTTCCCCAATATCACAAATTTTATTTTAGTTTTGAACTTGGATTATCCTTACTACTTAAAAATAAAGGTACTATTAAATAACTTAATGCAATTTGAAAAGAATAAAAATTCTCTTTACTTCTTCAAAAGTTTCTCCTTTGGCTCTTAGAAGCACGAGAACGGCGCTGATCAGAGCCTCGTTGGCTTCGTTCAACAACAAGTCAAGACACGCTTCGGCTTCGGCTTCCGATAAGTCGACCCCCTCAATTAACGATTCGATCAACTGTTACCACATTTTAATTTTAATTAATTAAAAAAATGGCAAACACGGGAGATAAATTTTAAATAAAAGAAATAACAACTAACCTGGGTTACGGACTGAATGGACGTTGCTGCATTCGAGGAAACGGTGACGTTTGCAGCAGATATCGCGGTAGTGGTTCTTCGCGTAAAGGGAGAAATTGAAAGGGAAAAGGCAACGGAACGGCGTCGGAGGTTGAGGCTGGGAGAGGGAAGATGGCGAGTGAAAGAAGAGAGTGTGCAGAGTAGAGCTTGTGTTTGTGCCATGACGATCTGGGTTATCGGCGTTACGGCGGCGCTAGTAAGAGTGAATGAAGAGTAGACGGTGAAAAGAGAAAGGGCGCATAGTTGACTCGAGAATGATTCGAATTGGTAATGTGTTGGTATCTTATTGCCCTTCTCAAAATTGGAGGATTATGGTAAGTGCAGAAATAGTGATTTGAGGGGCCGACATAGTCTGTCCATGTCGTCGTCCGAAACTAACGTGAATCTTGTGTGCTATATAAATGTTAGGTAAGGGGATATCTAAAATAAGAGGTATTTTATGTTTCATTATAATAAGATTAATGGTTTATTTAAAAATTAAAATATTAAAAATTTATATTTTTAATCTAAAAATAATATACAATATCTCTTTAAGAGTATCCTAACAAACATCTTTTAATAATAGATAAAGATTCTTTTTATTATTATATTGAGAAGACATTCTATGCATTTTTCACGGATAAAATAATAATAATTATTAATTTTATATTAATAAACAATATGATAAGTAATTTATTTTAAAAATTATAAATATTTTAAAATTTTAAAAGAATGTCTGAGTTTGTTGAAGCATTAGAAACAGATTCCGAGAGAGAGTGATTGCAGCAGAAGCTAATCTAAAAAAGAATGTCTTTTTTCACGGCACCGGTACCACATGCAAGCACCGTAAATAAATATACATTACTCTAATTTTTAAAACGTATTGTGATTTTATAAATCACCGAGCTGATCTGGGGAGTAGTTGGTGTCACTGTACATCGACAACGAGTGTTCCTCGCTGTCCTTTGTCACGTGCAAAGAATATTTTGTCGAAAAAATCTTTAATATTTATTGTAAATTTTTATTTATTTAGACTTTTATACCAATAACGATTTAGCTACTTAAATATTAATTTTTTTTCTATTTTTAAATGATAATATTTTCAATGTAAGTTATTTTTTATTTAATACACAAGAAAAAATTAAACAAAATTTATTTTTTCTGAACTTATTTAAGTACATAGAAAAATGAGAGAAAATAATAATAATAAAAGCACAATTATGCGTGGGGCGGTGGGGGAACCCACCTACCTATTAAAAAACAATTTTGGATAGAAAGAAATAAAGGACGTTATTTACTATCCCAAAATAATTGAATTAATGTGCCCCGAACCTTCACAAGGATCATCCTTTTCGATCTTCTTTCTCTCCTTAGTGTACCACTCCTATTGTAAACATATTATGCCGAACTAAGTTATAGCAATTTTATATTATTCAATAACTTTCGTTTTATAATTTAATTTTAATATATATTTTATATAAGTAATATATATTTTTTAAATATATAAAATTAAAAATATTTTAATTATATATTTATAATGTTTTATGTTGATAAATTTTAATAAAAATAATTCAAATAAATAATAATTATAATTTAAATCTTGGATTAATAAAAATGATTAAATGTATAAAAATTAATATAACTTTCTTTTGTAATGTAATGGACTCTTTTAAATGTAAAATTTGTATTAGGGTGTAATTTAACAAATTTAAGAACATAATAATATAATTTTAAAATCATTTCAAAATTTATCATATGTTAATAATTTATTATATTAGAAATATAGTATAATTCATATCATACCATTAATTGAATTTTATTATACAAATCAATACAATTCACTGTACAATTAAATTAAATATTTTATTTATTGAGTATATATATATATATGGGAAGGATTTATCACCACTATAAGTCTAAAAACTCTTACACTTAATCTGAGCCTTTCATTTAACTTAAATTTAATGGGCCAGTGAAGTAATAAATTATAATAAGTTAGATTTGAGTTAAATGAAATGTTCAGATTGAGTGTAAGAAGATTCTGCTTCATATATATATATATATATGAAAAAGTAATAAGAATGAAAAATGAAAAAAAAAAAGGTCGTCTTATTCAAAACCCCAATTATGAAATCCTTTCTCTCCCACTTCACACCTCAGAACGCACCATTCTTATAGAGAGAGGGGCGCTTTCACATCTTCTTAAGCCGAAATGGCTGGGGAGAGGAAAGGTTCCCATTTTTTAGGGATACGATATTCAACTCAATGAAGTATAACTTTACGACACATAACCTTTTCTTTATGCACAAATCTAATCAATTAATATTAGTATTCGTGCTTTATGTTGTGAACAAATATGAATCGTTTTTGACTAAAAGATTATACTTCTATATATTGGTTCTTCTTTATCATCAAATTCGATTTTCACTAAAAAATGAATAAATATTTATATTAGAAATATAAATCTTATATATATACGGGTTCTGATTTCAGAGGGGAGAGAGAGAGAGTAAAAGTTATTATGCCTTTCTACATATATGATTTTGGAGAAATAGAATTTTACCATCCTGTTGATATTAGAAGAAAATTAAGAGCAACAAGAAAACTTATAAATCAAACTCAAAATAGTATTTTGAAAAAACTCCTTCTCTTAGACATTAAAGAAAATAAGAAAGATTTAAAAGTTTTGGCAAGAGCTTGAATTTTTATCATATGCGTATCATTTATCTTGTAAACATCTTTTTGTCATATCTTGAGTTAATTATAATTTGTTCGACATAAGTTTGTTATTAAGAATCCAAATGGGTAGCAGTGACTGAGTGAGAGCTATTTGTACGTTGGTAAGCCTGGAGGATGTTCCCGGTAGTAAGTCCTGAGCGTGGATAGTAAAGCCGTTGGTAAGCCTTGGTGTTTCTGCAGCCTTTAGGATTTGAAAATGACAAATTTATTAAGAACAATGAATAATTTAGCTTTAGGTAGAAACAGAGAGATAATTACAAGAGTAATGAAAGCAGAAGATGAAATTCTTCCTCTCCACCAATAAATTCCTCAACCTCTTCAACAATACCACAACAAATTACCATAGATAATATAGAAAAATCTTTACATGATTGGTCAATACCTATAGTTAAAGAAAAAGATGTATATAAATATAAATCAGTTTGGTCGTTTAGAAATAATTATGAACAAATCCACAAAATAGAATATTCCTATCCTGGAATAACAGGAAATAGAGAAATTCAACTCGTAAAAGACCAGCTCATACAAAAACATAGACAAGAGGATTTTAAGTTCATCCATATAGGATTAATTCAATTAGCAGTAAAACCAAACTTTTAAGTTAGGAGTATATCTTCCTATACTTGTATTACTCATAGACATGAAATTACAATATAAAAATGACTCAATAATAGTAGCTTTAGAAAGCAATATGCATGATGGACCAATTTTCTTTAACTGTTATCACAATATATCAATGTCTTTAGACAATGAAAAACATCTAAAGCCATTAAAATATTTACAAAAATAAAAGAAAATATAGTCGATGACTCGTTTAATCCATTTCATGTGATCTACAGAGTCTATTACAAAATTACTAAAATTCCTTATGGATTTAAAGCAAATAGACAAATCAATAAAGATGAAACTGTAGTTACAAGCTAATTTAAATAGAAGTTTAGTACAAGTCCCTAAGAGATTAAGACATAATCAGTTAACAATACCAGAAGAATGGGTTTTTGAAGAACCCTCTTCTATAAAACAAGAACATACATAAATTAGAGATATAATAGAAGAACCAGATAGATTTAGACTTAGAATGAATAGGTCTAGATCAATCCATATAGGTCAACCATCCACAAATAGAGAACCTTCAAGACATTCTATTAGTGGATCGACAGTAGACATAAATCTAACCAAAATAGATAATATAACAAGACCAGGAATTTCTATTCCTGTTTATGAACAAAACTCAGAAATAAATTATAGTCCCACACCATCTCAAGTTTTAAATACAATAGAAAAAAATGAACCTTTTACTATAGATAAACAATGAATTAAAGAAGATATAAATAGAGAACATACTATAGATAGAAAAGATTGGTTAATGAAAACATTTAATCAACAACAAAGAATTAAAATTAGAGAAAAATTTTATAGCTACCTAAAAGAAATACAAATAAATACTTATTTTTTCCCTTGGATGGAAAAATATTGTATTAAAAACAATATAGATTATCCATTTAATAAAGAAATAAATCCTTTACAAAGAACTAAAAATATTTGTGTTAGGCTAGTGATTTATTATTGAGTAATCTATAATATTTTATACTTGTTCAATGTTAATTGAAGAATTATTTGGTATTGGAATAGATTTAGATGGAGTTTGAAATTATTTTTAAAAAAAAAGTGAACAGTACCGTATAAACAGTGTCAGATAAACAGTAAAACCGCCTATGAACAGTGCAAAACCGCGTACAAACCGCATATGAACAGTAAAGATCACGTATGTACAGTGATCGCTGACATCATCCTGATGTCACATATGCGTACAGTGTGTGTACAGTATTTTCGGCGTAAATAGTGTCCTAAACAGTGTTTCCGCGCGTGAACAATAAGGCGGTGAACAGTAAATTCTAGCAGTGAACAGTAAATTTTGAAAATTTTCTATAAAAAGGGAGTTTCACACGAAATTTTCATTCCTTTACTCATATTCAAGGTTCTCAAAGGTTCTAAGGCCATATACCACCATTTTCTCTCATATTAAACCCTCCTAAACTTAGATTTCTCGCCAGATCTGAGATTCTACATCTATTTTGAGGGATTTGAAGTAAGTTTCTTTAAGTTTGAAGCTAGATTTACTGTTCGTTTCTCTTCTTCTTCTCTTTCTCATAGAAGTTCATGGTGTTCTTAGGAGAAACTTCATTCTAAAACCAAATCTTCGGTGAAACTTGCTATAAATCAAGTAATATTCGGTAGATCTAGTGTGAATCATCGTTCTGAGGTAAAGGGAGCTTACTTTAACCTATGAACTATGTTTTGAACGGTTTAATATGCTATTTCAAGATGTTTTGATATGATTTTGTTAGATTTATTGAATAAAAGCTATTTTCTAAGCTGTAACTGCTGTTAATTGATTTAAAATGTTGAGATTTTGGCTGATTTATCTTAAACTTGTTTTAGCTAAGCTGTTAAAATAATTTTAGCGGTGTGCATTATGCTAAGATATATGTTTTGCATCATTATAGAGCCGAGTTACATGTTTAGGTGGGTAGACGTGTAACGGTAAGTTCATGTTGAGCTGCTGTGCTGTGTTGTCTGGATCCAGATAC